ATAGGATAAAAGGATATATGGAGATTTTAAAAGGTAACTTTAGGAAATTTATAATGAATTGGTTATATTACATGGATCTAAGCAAAAACAAATAACATCAAAGCTTTTATCCCGACTGTTGGCCGGCTACATGATCCTTTTTCCATTTATGTCATGTTAATAGTTCCATCTGTTAGAGTTAAATTCTCAATTAAATCTCAATAAGAAGTTTTAATATTCATTACATCTTTACTAAGCACAAAGCAGATAAAAAACGTTGTTGATAAATATTTCAAGAGCGAAAGAAAATATGAATTATTGAAAAAAAAAAGATGTGAATTAAAGAATATTTATACGAGTATCACTAGGGTGAGCATTTTATTGAATTATGGAGTGTAATTGAAAAGAGACTCATTGGTCTATGAATCATGCAAAATGAAGGTACAAAATAAGCCATAGACCAATATTAATTAGAGTTGAGTTTTAGAGACCTAATTTAATTAGGCATAACTGTCTTCAAAAAGAATTTACGGAGAATAGGTTTAACAATTCACCGCAATAACTCAAAAGAAATGATAAATATGAGAATTTATAAATGCCAATCCTAATTAGCTAGGAACAAGACTAGTTATGATGATTCACAAGAATATTTCCATCCATCAACACGCACTTAGATTTTAAAGTTTATATATTCAGTTTCCTAAAGTGTAATATTATGCCATGAGATAATTTGGTTGATATAAACCATTTTTTACATTCCCTAAAGTTAGGATAATAAATTACTAGGTTTAACCTGATATATATCCTAATTCCATTCAAGAACAAGAGTATTAAATGTGATTCTCTAAACAGTTTAGATCAACATTCCTGAACCAGTGAGCATCCATAGCCATTTGAAAGTTGCTTGATGGTTTAGTGCTCATGAAAAAGTGAAATTCAATCACACACTTAACTTATAAGTAAAGCTAATAATAGACCTGTTCCATTGTAGTCATACTTACCCTCGAAAATTAACGAATAAGGTGGCACTCTCCCATCTGCATAGTGCTCAAGAAAATATTAACA